GATTGAAATTTATTCATCATTTCATTATTGCTTATGAAATATTGTTATTGTTAATAATCAATTATCATAACATTATTAATCATTTATATAAAAAAAATTGCGTACAATTAATTTTGAACATTTCAAATATAATCAAGACCACGAAGTTGATAACTATACAGTGTCTGTTCCACTGTTACAGCGAGCTCACACAGCCATACATATATGTACATTATAAAGCATAAATTAACTTCTCCGCGGGCAACTCTCTCATTACCCTCGACGTAGGCCTATAACTTTAAAAATTCACAATGAAAACCTTCGAATCGACTGTTGGACTGCGGAGGAGTCTAAAATCTACATACAAAGTATGAACGGATATGTTTATGTTGCTTATTAAATGATTGTAGATGGTTGCATACTTGTATATTCGTATTCAGTGAATAAAAGACTAAAGATTTTGCAGTAGCCTACGTTTACTTATACAAATTGGTAACATATGATCATTTATATAGCAGTGTTGTATAGAACACTTTATTGGGGGAGTATCGTTAACAAATATATAAACCAATTATTAACAAATATAAGAAATATTTACAAACTATATAATATAGTTATCATACCACAACAATACGATTCTATGGCGTCCAACACTATACTGTATACGTCCTCATTCCTGATTCTTGGTTTATATAAAAAACGTCATTAGTCCCAATGACAATGGCATTGCCACGATGACCGATGTTACAAAACGTTTGACTGAAAGTATATAATCAGTAAACCAACTTATTGAAATATAAAGAGTATAATAGTGCAGTCAGCTGAAGAATGTTATCGTACAACGTAATCGTGGGAGGCTATTATCATTCACATAAACAATACTCATAAGCACGCCAAATTTATTCACGACATGGACATCGTTTATATTGATCTACTACCATGCAATTTTTATTCCACTCATTCAGATTATTGAGTACGTGTATAATTGTCAAATACACTAATAATCATTTTGATATCAATATAAAAATGAATTTAACATTAGTCTTTAAAATTATAGTTACTTTTTGAGTTTTTGACCTATAAAATATTATGCAACTGTCAAAACGTTCGTAAGAAAGTGCAGATTGTCTGATGATTTAGACTGGTGCAAGTGTTTATCCAGGTCATCAGAACTGTCAGACTAATAGCAAAATATGGTTAGCTCAGTGACAGATATATAGTTATGCATGTAAATATGTTTACCATATTAAACATGTACTTGATTTCGGCGTATTTTATTAACCAAAGTGGCAAATAATCGAATGACTGTATACGCTCTCTCACAAGTCCTTTCGCAGTGCCGCCACTCCTTTGCGCGCCACCTGGCTCAAGCCAGGGCCCCCGGTAATTTAGGATCCATGAGCAAGAATGACAAAGTAGGGAAGTTGAAATGTTTCAGCAAATTTGACATGTTCTTGCATGGCGTAGCCATGCGCATCCCCTATAGTTCAATCTGCATCCCCCGTCGGCACAGTAGAGAGATTAAAAGCAAGTGACGTTTTTTGACATGTGCATGCGCCAACCTATGGCGACAGGAGTCTTGCTTGAAATCAAGAACGCCAGTCAATGTAGTTTCTGCACGTTCGTGTATTTCAAACAAGAACGGCCGTCGCCATCACTTGCAGCCGCCATCCATAACAGTCGATTGACTTCCGGTTGGGTTGCATGTTGTCAAAATGTCGCTGCTTCAGCTCTCTAATTGCATCTTCACTGTGGCTTGATGATAAAGAATTGTTTGTTTTGCAGGTATGCGCTAACATTCCTAGGAGTTTTTCTGAGTGTTTAAACAAAAATTTTGCATTTACGTTGTCCTGTTATGACTAAAGGACTCAAATACATTACTTGGTGGTAGCGGTGGGATAAGAGAGACGAATGTCCACACACTAGTCTACTAGAGTGTACCATATAAATCATACTTGAAATTCATGATTCACACAGAAAAGCAAATATATGACACTCCCAAGTCCTTTTGGCTCACTGACACTTTCTCACGATAAGTGTTTCATAAATGCATTTCATATAATTATATTGTTTCATTTGTGGCTTGATGATAATGAATTGTTTTTGCTAGCACATTTTTGCTGCATTTTTTCTACATTTTTAATGCGTCATGTGATTGCGGAAATAGTCCGCCTTGAATGACTATAGTTGATGCTAGTAAAAATCTTTTATTCACATTCTTCTGTTGTGATATCTTGAAGCACAATGAATATCTTGTGTTTACGTTATTTGGTGGAAGCGGTGAGATACTTATACCTTGAGTTTAACAACAGGAATTGTACGTAACGTAACGCATCTACCACGTTTTCAGTCTTATTCAGGTCACTTGAAAGCTTGAAAGTAGATTTTCTACAGAGCTTTTGCGAGGTCAAAAACTAATTAAGTCTAAAATAAAATTTGTTTGAGATGATGTTACTCTGAGTGTGTCCACACCAGGGAGGCTGAAAATTTTGCTTGACCTCGGTGGGAATCGCACCTGTGACCTTTGGTTTGTTATGTACCAACGTCACAGATTCGGGATTCCCACCGGTAGTGAAGCATGCACATTTTCATCTTCCCCGTTGTGGATACACTCAAGAGAGCATCATGACAAATATCTTTACCTGAGTACGTACACCACGATCATTACATTCTAAAATTTGTGTCTAAGTTTGTAATTTTGTAATACTACGCCTTAATTTCATTCAAAATCTAATCGTAAACTTAAACTTACAGGTTGCGTTAAAATCAATTTTTATAGTATATAAAAATATTTCATACATATGATACATACCATTTCGGGTGGTCTGTTTTTGTTTATTAATGTTTCAAATGCCTCTAGTTCTGGTAATGGTCCTTGGTAGTCTTCAAGGGAGTATGCTAATCTTCCCAACCAAAATATTGTTATGAGTACCTAATGAAGAATATAGAGATGCATTAGTTATACATTCTTCTCAAAGTATGTATTTCTCAGGTTTTCTATACGTTTAGGGGAGTCCAAACCCAGAGAGCCTGCCACGCAGGCTATGAAGAACATGGAGGAAGTGATTCCAAAATACGGAGCAAAACACAATTTTAAGGAATTTCCACGTCAAATTCAATGGTTTACTGTTTACACCATCAAAGTTTCTGTGATCACAGTAGGCTGGAATTTTGCATGGGTGTATTGGCAAAGTTTTGAAGGATTCGTAAGAAATGTTTGAGGGAACTCACTTGGTGTTTTTAAACATGCACAACGGCCAATGGAAATTAATATGATATCAATTATACGTATAATTTTTTTATAATATGATTGTCAATTCGTCGCTAGCTCATGAATGATGGAGATATGACGGGGTGTACGTTATAACGCCTTCAAAAACTACTATGCACAGGTTTTCGCTACTTCATGCAGCTTGCCATGTGATTGGGAAGAATATATCAGACTTCTTCGTTTATATAGAATTTGAGTGTGAATGAAATGTTATGCTAGATTGCTAGTGCCTTAACAGTAACATTCTTTTTGAACTTGGCAGTTGGTAGTGAGAACTTTCCACAATAGTATATTCGGTATAGACCGGACCAGTATAGACTACCACTCCTTGCAATTTAGTCACAATCACAATATCTTTGACCCGAAGCAATAATCCTTTTTTGCACTAGAAATTGTTTGCTTTACACCACACGCATGCAGTGATATCATCCATGTCGATGAGTTCATACTCATCTATACATAGCTCAACACGCGCTATCTAAGTCACAAAGTCAAAGAAAACAGCGCATGTCATGCAGCAACTATAAACCGCTTTATATTTGTGTGATTAACTCACTGTTCTGAGATCTGTGCGATTGTAGCCAAACGAAATAGACAAGAGTAATAGTATCCTAGGAGAAATATAAGGTGAAAACGCCTTGCTTAGGCAGTCAAAATATAATCATACCTTTTACAGTTTTAGTTTGTGCTTTTGAAAACATAGTCTTGGAATTTTATTCGCCGACCAGTGTATTACTTATTTATTTCTTTATACTATAATGTCAATGATGTACTTATAAAGTTTCGCTTTGCACCTTTTGACGGTATAACTATACTAGTAACATACGTTTCGCATATTCATGTATGGACTCTTTGGAGGCGGCCGGGGGGGGGGGAGGGAGGGAGTTGTACACCAAATACCTCATCAAACACTTACAGCCGACTCAACTCTTCATCATAATTATCATAATTATGCTGTAATATTCTGTAAAGCTAATAGTGCATTTAATATATGCACATTTTGTTTGTAGCATTGTCATAGACAGTAATATTTAATGTTGTTTTTGCTGTACTAACTACATTGATCTGGAAGCAGTGACATTGCTGTCGTGAAAAATCCATATACAAACCTATGCCGGTTAACGATGTCATTGGCTTAACCAGTTCAGTTCTGACTTCTGGGTGAGAACACAAGCTATCATACGAGACTATAGGGCTTACGAGAATTTAACTGGATCTCTTATAATCGGTCTTCTCAAACGGTTGTTTTATAATTTTGACGTCTCACACAATGAAAAATAAGAAGATTAAAGAATAAAGAGAATGCCAAAGAGCCTTTTCCAAGCTATCTTGAAGACAAGTGTTTTCAATCACACGCTTTGTGAACAATGTCACAAGGGTTGCTGAAGCAAATCCTATTTCTATGACTAAGCAATACTTTATCTTCAAAATGAATGAACAAACACGCCATATGGCAACTCCATCTGTCTTTTTATAGCACTTAGATAATTTCACTTACATTTCGTAACCTTCTGTCTTCCTCCTTCTGCTTTCTGGTAATAACATGAAATGAAATAAAACATTAGCATTTAGCATGACAGATTGAGTGACTATAACAATAATAATGAAAATTAACAGTTGGAATATATAGCTTTCGCAGTATGATATATCGGGTGAATAGATCGTATGCAAATTTTACTTGTTTTCTTGATGAACGAACATAATTTTAGAGGCGACGCATTAATTTGATTCGTAACATAACACGCATTCTATCACAATAGACTCGTTAATATATGTAGCGTAGCCTTGTTTTATCAGTTTCTTATGAGATTAGTAACTTTTCTGGCGAATATTTGCGGCATGGGTGTACTTTCGCATCAAACGTGGGGTTCCAGTGTGGGTAGTATTGAATAAACTGTCTTCGTTTGGTCGTTTTGAAGGAGAAAAAGAAAACTTCGATAGTCAGAAGACGAAGGGTCGTCGAAGGTTTCTTTTGTATTTCTTTCAGATAGTCGCGATCAGTTCAAACCAAGTTTATACGATCGTTTATCCAATCTCGAAGAACCCGTATTTATGTACTGTCAAATTCCATACACTGCACGCACACAGCGATCCGTACACCAACAGTGACACCAACAGACTGTCAGTTTCAGTTACCGTTTAAGACATGCATGCAACTGATGAATCCACGAGGATGAATCCAAGAGGACCATGAAGGAGTACACCAGGAGTTAGAATTCAGTTATTTAAGGAATCAAGCATGTATTCATTTATCAATAGCATTCATCAAAGTAACAAAATATTTTGATTGAAGGTTTTGAGTGAAGGTTTCTAATATGCTACCTCAATGAGTATTGTAAAGTAGCTATGTGTCACTTCGTCTACTGCAGCCTGGAAAGTTCAAAAGAAGGAAGGAAACTTTTTGCTAAAAGATGGCCTTTGTTAAGGAGGTTATATTAAAGTTATATTAAAGCACCTTAGTGTCAAGCTGGTGTTTCTACGAATATATATATATAGGCTAGTCTATTCTAACCCAATAATGAAATTGATGACACCGGAAAGAATAAAGTGGTCGTCATTGACATTGTGGGCATGTTGACACACCATTATGGGAATTACGTTGATTCAAGAATCGGCTTATAATTGGGGCATATTATCCCATGCACTTCTGTAGAAACACCCTTCAAAGAGTCATTATGTTTCGTAAATTGTTAGGAATGGTTAAAATTTTTTTCCTATGAGTTTGGCGGGATGAAAGGCGTTGAAAACCCAAAAATATTCTGGTGTACACTGATTTCACACATAACAAGTCTTCTTAATCACGATCACCAGAACATTTAAAACATATAAAGATATAAAATGTACATTACAAGAAATAAAAATATAATGTACATGCTTTGTACTTGTCCAAGGGCCCCACACTCGCCAGAGGGGCGGGTTCCCGGGCCCCACCTCTGGCTATGTCGATGATTCCACAGTCTATACATAGCCAACAAGTCTACGTTAATATTAATTAACGCATGTAGCGAGGTACGTATACTGTAATACTGCCTGCACACTGACTTACAAGTCTTGGTTGACACTTGACACAGAGCGTGCACAGAGACGATATTAATTAATTTCTTATTCCCGATGTTAGATTCATTGGGTACCATTGTGCATGATAGCAGACGCCATATTCCTGCATCCTAGCTTTTTATCACCCTAACCCTGATCATAATCCTAACGTTTAAGCCTGCGATGATCATAATCCTAACGTTTAAGCCTGCATGCGATGATCATAATCATATATACGTTTTACCTAACCCCTGCCCTAACCATATATACGTTTTACCTAACCCCTGCCCTTACCGCTATACCTCTAACATATGGTTTATGGGATATAATGGATATTGCATGTACTTCCCGAAGTTTACTAAACATATTCGCTGGTGAGCGTGACACATCCCAGAAACTGGGGAATCGGCAGGGCCGTTGTGAAGAGGCTAAAGCAGGGGGGTGTTAAGAAACAATTTGCCGACAAATTCGTCACTGTTGCGCGGTCCTCCCACCCCAACCTCGACGGCCTTGGAAGAACGTTAGAACGCATAGTGTCAGGACGAAAATGTGAGTGTGTGACGTTAAATCTTCAAAAATCCCTCAGCGCACACCAGCCAGAAGATTTTTTTCTCGAATGCATATGTTCTTGATATCTCGCTTCCCGCTTGTCCATTCAATTCTGGACATATCTGATATGAATCTGAAATTAATCTCTTCATGTCTTTCAATAGATAACAGCATGTCAAACACAATAACATGTAAATATAGCACTGACGAGATCATCATATAATTGCTCATATAGTTACTGGCCAATACTAATATTTAACTTTTGGTTAGGTTAACTTTTGGTATAACGTTAAAATATATTATACTGCATGTAAATATACCATATTTACAAGTATGGGTTCAAATGATTTGAATTTTCGCTTTTAGCCTTAGCGGTTTGATCGGCACAAACCGAAAACTAATTTTATCAAAGAGAGTTATAATAGACATAATATAGTTAGCCGTATGGTTTTGGGCCGGTTATACTATAAAACTCTTCCAGTTTTAACCACTATTTTGTAGTTAATATCTGTTGTCACCATACTTACCCGTGTGGATGGTTAGGTGCAGACGTGGTCCGTTAATGATATATAGGGATTTGAGTTACTTGGATTCAGGTCCGAATCACGCGAACGTGTCCATTCAGGACCAGGCTGACCACCGAACGTCTGCACCTTATCACCCCGAACTAAGTGTTCGGCGGAAATCTTAAACCGACATTCAATATAGTTGTCATGAAAAACAAAAAATAGCTTCTTCTCTAAGCAAACTACTACTCCAGTTGGCTTGGCTATTAGTTAGCTATAATGATCCGTGAGTCTGCTTGCCACTCTCTCTATCTGACACCTTGAGGGCATCTTTATATTTTTATGTTTTATATCTGTCATAGTAGGTGTCTCAGTTTCAAGGAAAATGATTTCAAGGAATAGTTTGAAGCCGAAGATGATTTCATTTGCATAGTTTCAAGGAAGATGATTTTTCGAGCATTTTTTCAGTTAAAAAATAATTCACTGCATATCATAGAACAAAGTGAAGGCAATCAAATGAAAGTAGTTTAAAAATAATAAGAAGAAGGCGTGCAAACAATTCATTATTTTTTTATTATGAAGTACTGCAGTACTATAGTTTTTAATTTTTTTGGACGCATAATACTCACACTTTGACAGGCATATTCTGGTTTCGCACAGCGGCTAAATCACTAACGCGGAATAACTGGGATTTTTTCAAGCCCATGTAGCGACATATGTTTAGAAATATGACCAGATTATCCTGTAAAAATAAAAAGCTATAAGCACTATCTCACCATCAGTATCAGACAATCAGTTACATGATTGGAATGAAGTTAATGGGCAATGAAATCATTATTGGAACGAAGGCATGCATAACACTACAGGGTGTATCAAAAAAAGCGCAATCCTCGACTGAAATGTAAATTGCTAAACAAATAATAGACGAAAACGTTAAAGTTTACATTCATTTTAAAGCGTAGCCATTCAGCTTTCTAACAGTGGGTTGTTTCTTAAATTTGACCCATTGGTTCGCGGGTAATAATACTTTACGTTATTGCGATTGGAGATTAAAAAAATTGAGATGGAATTAACAAATCGTTCTCATGAAAATAACTGATTTTTCATTAAAACAAAAAAATGTTGCATTTTATTAAATGGATTGTAACAATAAGTATAATTACGGCTTTTCTTCCACTATTTTTAACTCAGTTTGAAACTTCAAATGCGATATAATTTTGGCTTGGACCATCTAAGCTGACTGACATCAACTTGCTATAATTTCTGTTTACATTACATCGCAATTCGATGACACTGTAGCTCAGACACCAGAACGTTTTGACGATTTTTAGCATTCGTTTAGGATTTTCAAACAACCTGGTCTCTTTTAAAATACTTTTAATTTGTTCTTACGTGGTTTTCCAGATGTAGTGACGACAACATTAAAGTTTAAAGAAGAAAATTCTAACATTTAAACCGACTAAACAATAATATAGTAAACTTGCATAATTAAACAGCAACTAAAAATGATAGGTTTTACTAAATCTTTTCCTGTGCAATTATTACTAGCATTGGAGACAAGGATAATAGTTTGTGTGAAAGAGAAAAGAACAGGCTTTGAAGTAAGCCTAAAAGCGTTTAACTAGAAATAGTATGTCGAAAGTTATTAAGCACAAAAGATGAGTTGCGTTTATTTTGATACACCCTGTATAACTAGTAAAAATACATACCAGGATTTTGGGCATCTTTACCAGGACTTTGGGCACCATTAGAAATCCCGGGAGGGGGGTATAAAATTTTTGCAGCAGGATTGATTTTTCAGTCTCATGTCTCTGTAGGATTTTTTGTATGCTTAACCTAGAGCTGCAACCTTTTTTTTCAAGACTATTTGCACTTTGCTGTTTGCTTGCATGATTTTTTTTTCTCTGACGTAATGGTTGCGCGAATTTTTTTCCAGGCATTTTTCTTTGCACGAATTTTTTTTTTTAATTTTCACCCCCCCCCCCTCCCGGGATTTCTAATGGTCCGCCCCTTAGAAGCTATGGTTTTGTAGATGGAAATTTCGAGTGTGAATTTTATACGTTTATTAGATATTTATATATTTATTATTTTCGCAAATGCTCCCGTTGCTCCGACCTGCAGGTTAGGTCTAATAAATGTAAACAATTCACAGTCGAAATCCCTCCTAAAAAATACACTAGTATACGTACCATCCAAGCCAATGATCTTGGTATTGGATTAAGCTGACCAATATTAATACCACTTAAGTTCTCCACCAGTCTATTAGTAACAATATAACAAACCCAAAAAGATTTTGTTAGTTCGCACATGTAAATTACATTTCGATCTTGAGGACGTGCATGATACTTGTGGATGTGATCACAAAATTAAAAAAAGGAATGATAATTTAAGTTTACTTTTTTCACATGCATAAGCTCAAATTGGTGTTACAAATATAATTAAATTTGAAAATTTATACACCAGACTGTATAAGGATTGTTTGTACTAAAACATTTTAACTTCAGTGTATACATGTTGAAGCTATACCCAGTCCCTGCAGTTTCTTTAAACTGCTTATGGCGAATATATAAAACATGTTGAACCCTGCATGCCCATGCACCTGCCCTGGCGATGTCAATTATTTGTCCTTGCCTCACTACAAAGTCTTAAACCGGCATGGTATTTTTCGTTATGCTTTCTCTTTACAGATTGAAATGAGGAATCAATCAATCAATCAATCAATCAATTTTTTATTGAGCACCATTATTTTAAAAAAAATATTTACATTAAATATTTGGATCCTGATATGGGTGCAAGCTAGCAGCAGTAACCATTAGGTTAAACGAGGCAGCTAGCTTAATAAATAATATATTTCCATTTCCAATTAATCTTAATTAAAGCACAGAAGTATAACTTGAAGGTCAAAAATTGTTCATATGTAAATAAGTAATTCAACCAAATTGTTTTTTATGCCTACCGTATATTGCTACCCAGTGAAACTGACGATAGCCGATTTAATTCGCGCGAAAAGCATATGCTCACAGACTCAGTTCAGCCATATAATAAACCGATTATTGACCTCGCTTGTTCGGTCTGTACTGTGAAATATCAGACCTCTGTTTTTTGCATGGACCTCGCTCCTTCGTTGCTCGGTCCATACTAAAAAACCTCGGTCTGATATTTCACAGTACAGACCTCACGCTCGGTCAATAATCCGTTATTATTACGTTCTCAGGCTATAGTTTTATAGGGCCAGAATTCGGTTGGTCCGCGGTAAAACGTCGATGAACCGCGACCATTACTATAATTCTATGGTTATTATAAACAAACTTCTGTCTAAAATTTTTGTTTACCAACATAAAGAATTTCTTTAAAATTTATGAATAACCAACTTTCACCAAGCTATTCAAAATTATAAGTGGCAATTTACTGGAGATCACTTTATCAGACAAGTGTGAAGTGGATTAATTATGAATGCTTCAGAAAAAGGAAACCTGCATGAAAATCTGTACATCGCACTAGACCGCAATACTATGATCTGAGCATGATTTAACACGAAACAACAAAACGATAAATGTCTGACGTACATGTATGTCAGACGTCGACAAGATATCTGTATTGTACCAACACAACAACAATTGGAAGAAGTTCAAGTATTGTGTATACTTTATGACTTTATCGTTACAAATAAGTCCACGCAGCCAGCTCATTAAAGGGTAATTAAAATAAACAACAGGAATTAATACACATCTCTGGAATTTAGATTGTGCTTGATATATGATACAAGAGTTCTGACTGAGAATCTGAGATGTATCGTAACAAGAAAAGTATAAACACTTCCGTGACTCCACATACTTGCAAAGCAACATGCCATCTTTCAGTGATTCTCGAAAATCTTCGCATGGAAATGAAATTTCGGTGGTTTCCTTTGATAAAACAAAATGTTGTTTCAATGTGTCATGTTACTTGATTATCAATTAATAAAAGAAGTTAAAGTATGTCGAAGTCAGATGTTGAACAAAATGTACTGACCTCGATCCATCTGCGTGCTTCAGTACAGGCTTCTCCATATACACTGCACGTTACGTGACTCGCCCCTAACATTCTCTCTGCAGCTCTCCAATACAAATAACCTCTCAAGTAACTGAAACTCTTCCAAAAATGTAGACTGTTGCGGATAATATCAAATCTTGAAGATTCCCGCGAGTTTATGTGACGCTCTGCATATTCACATGCAGATCAGTATAAAGTTGATCCAGTACTATAACTAGTTTTTCTTGATATAATATATTATGTTAGACTAGTTTCAGTCAAATTTTAGCTTCAATATGGTATACTTATGAACGCAATATCAGTGCTCAGCCATCCGGTCACTGATAAAAATCGGCGCCTTTCGATTCAGATCGATATATTAAAAGAATGTTAGTAATGTTAGACCTTATATATGTTTCACGGTAGGTCATCGCGGAGCATCATGTTTCACATTTTTCCGTTTCAGCAAATACGATATAAAATTTAAATTTAATTAATAGACTATTTATTATAGTGTTTCATAATTTCGTCATAATTTCGTTTTAACACAGTCATAAATTCGAACTGGTGATAAAACGCTGCGCAGGGGGTTGAATGTCAATAAACTGACAAGCGACACCGTATCTTGTGATCTCTAAACCTGACCAATTTACTGATTACGCTACGATTTTAATATTTCCGAAGGTCATGACATGACTACACTTGATTGACTTGAAAGGTCCTAGCTGAATTATGTGGAAGAATTTATTTCGCTGACCTGAGAATGACATTTCGTCAAAACTTTTTTCTTCAAGATTGGTTTAGAAACTTGGAGTAGGGTTATCTGAGCCTCTCTATTGTTCACACAACTTCACAGGAGCACAGGACTCATTGTTCTTCTTTTCTCCTCCCCCCAAAAGAAAAAGAAGGCCCAATACTGAAATTTTAAACAATCATTTTTTTTCTATATTCCCAGAAGAACACCTTATTAATATCCCTAGTGTAGATAACGATCCAAAACCAAGTATTGGTTCTCTGGAGATATCAGTGGCTGGTGTATATAAGCAATTAATATCCCTACAGGTTAATAAAGCTTCTGGTCCGGATAATATTCCGACGTGGTTTCTAAAATAATATGCAAATGAGATCTCACCTATTTTAACAGACATCTACCAAAACTCAATAGATACCGGAACTGTGCCGTCCAAATGGAACAGTGCGAACGTAAGTGGAATTTTTTTAAAAACTGGGAAAAAATCTGACCCAACAAATTACAGACCAATAATCACAATATCTCTGACCTGCATTGCTTCAAATATATTAAAACATTTTATCCATAGTCATGTGATGAAACACTTGGAACACCACAATGGTTTAACTGACTGTCAACATGGTTTTAGAGCAAAAAGATCTACCGAAACTCAACTTGTTGACTTGTTCTTACGATTCAGTCCAAAATGGTGAAACTTTGCACGCTGCAGTGCTGGACTTTTCAAAAGCATTTGATAAAGTCCCACATCAACGACTTCTTAAGAAACTGAACTACTATGGAATTGCCGGAAATTTCCCTCTCTGGTTCGAGTCCTTCCTTGTTGGTCGATATCAGTCAGTTGTCTGTGAAGGAAAAATATCACCCTCAAGGACGGTGAATTCTGGGAGTGGGGACGAGGAAATTGTATACATGGATATTTGTTGACATTTTTGGATATCTTAGAACATTTGAGCATAGGTTAAAAATTTTCCAGATTGTCAGCCGACAGCCATATTGAATGTGAAATTTTGAAATATTTACACGTGCATTAAAGCAGTGTGTTAAAAACAGCTAAATACGCTTGCCAAAAGTTATATAAGAAATGTCCGTGGTAGGATTTGATGTTGGGAATCAGTCTTGTTTTATTGCTGTAGCGAAAGGTGGAGGAATTGAAACTATTGACAATGAATACAGCGATAGGAGGACACCGTAAGATTTGTGTTCTTTTTTATATACATTACAATTTATATTTGTACCTGTCACGACTCATTCTTATATATGTTATTAGTGTTTTATTGTAATAATAAACTAGCGTGATACTTTTATTAGACAAAAATTATGTGCAGTCTGTAAATTTTAATATTGTAAAATCCAAATGTTAAAGATGGCACAAATTTTGATAAATTATTAAATGGCTTAATGCTTGGTAGTTAATAATATAAATTTAAATTAACCTTGAATTTAACTTAGACATGACTTGTTCATACTTTTACACATCTAGTTCTTATGTATCTTTTGGTGAGAAACAGCGGTATTTGGGAGTCTCGGCAAGAAACCAGGTAGTACTTTATGACACATACATGTGTGATAAACTCATAGTAATTTAGTATAGTATATAGCACATGAAATTCTCATTTCTTGCTTGTCTTTCACATGTGATTTTCATGTACTTTTACTTTCAATTTGAAAGTAATAATAAGTATCGATCTTTATTTCAAGGAACGAACAAATGTGAAGAACACAGTGAGTCAGTTCAAGAGGTTGATTGGTAAGAAGTTTTCAGACCCTGATATACAGCATGAATTACAAAGCAGGATGGTTCCATACAATATTGTGGAACAGCCAGATGGAAAAGTTGGAATTAAGGTTAGTTTGAATTCCAGGAATGAAAGTAAAAATGAAATGTCATTCCAAGAAATATGAAAATAGATTGCAGTTAGATGAAATTTGATATCACATACTAGGGTAAAACATTACTGGTAACCTAAATCATAAATATCACAAATTCTACCGCTGTTTTTTGAACATTGTTGAATATAAAGTTCAGCTACTTGGTTGGTTAACACATTAAGCTGCATAGGTTCCCCATTGACGAGTAAAATTGTCTGGCGTTAGACAAGTAAAAAAATAAGTTGGGTGCACTGGGGTGCATTGCGGCTCAATGGGTTAAGTAAAAGATTAACATGGACAAAAATGGGTCGTTCCAGAAAAGATCCATACTCCCCCCACAGAGGAAATTTCTGCCGTCCGGAGGGGAGGGGAGAAAAAATTGTTTCTGATAATAGTAAATGTATTAGGACATCCTTAGGGGGTAGGGGGTTAACTTCCTATTTCCTCCGTGGGGGTGGTATGGATGTTTTCTGGAATGACCCAATGATTGATTTGTACAATGATTTCTTCATCACCGCCTACTTTTTCAGCACAGCCGCTTACTTTTTCAGCACAGCCACTTACGTAAAATGATTTTGAAAGTCGTGCTGGCATATGTATAAATTATACCTGCTCCAAGTCTCTATTAATTAATATTAATTTGCCCCACCTCATTGCACCTCACATATGGCATGGTGGTGAAATGTTATATAATCCATTGAGTGACATCACTTTGACATTAGAGTGTTTGAATTTTGAACAATAAGTGAACCAAGCAATAGAGTTGTCATTTTCTTTTATTGGTTGCACAAGTCTCTTTCTTAGGGCATTGTGTGTCTATCATATGTTAGGTGCAATTGCAATATTGTGAGGACACAAATAGATAGCAAACCTCATATATACTGTATAATGCAAGCCTCATAAAATGAACTGCTGAATGTCATCTACATGGTAATACAGTACTTATAGTGCTATTAAGCTTAATTTGATGGTTTTGATTACTATAGACAGTATAGTTTGAGAAGTATTAATGAAAAATCGCACACATGTTTGGCGAATATATAGCATGCATGTTTGACTATGATATTTCCAACGTTAATTTTCAATTCATACCTGTAAAAACTGTAAATAATCTTTGTTTCTTCTTTGTCTTTTTTATTTGAACATAAATAAGATGTTTAATTAGATTTCGAATTTAAAATTTCAGAATGCACACAGGCTTGTATTTGTGCCGATTAATTTTTAATCGGCTTGTGACGATTAATCGTTAATCGGCACACCTGTGTGATTGATGTTTAATTGGCACAGGATAAATGTTTAACCAATTAGAATTGAGTAAATTGACTAGAATGATATTAAATGCTAAAAATGCAATTAAACTGTAAACTGGTTTCTCATAATTTCATAAATTGCAGTATTAAATAAATTGGTCAACGAAATGCAATTTCTGAGGCACTGGATGTTGTTGACAATAACCACAACTTAGTTCGACATGGCTGCAAAACTCACCATAAGCTAGAACATTTTGCACCATCACAACTAAACACTGAGTATGTTGCATGGTTTTATAGTGAAAACATTGACGTAACTTGTTTTTCCCATAACCATGTTTTGAATATAATACTACAGCAATGACAAAGGTAATATGAATAATATATAATATGATAATAGTACATCTGGCAAGTCTATGCTGTAAAAGGTTTATAACTTCATATATATGGTGGTCTTTATTTAATTTTAAATTTCTAGTGATAAAATTAACTGTTGAGGAATTACCTATGTAATGTTATAACATGAAACGACCAAACAGGGAACAAATTGTTCTATTGGGACATGAATGTGAGTTTGCTTCAGCAGTGAATGAAAATGATGCCATAATCACATATCTTTACTTCATGGATTTTAGAATGATTCCTAGAAAATATATCTTACTTTCAGTTTCAACTTGCTTTTGAAATCTGAGTACCGGCAGTATGCATTAAAGCATGTGTGCCTACTCAAATTACCTAAGCAAAAGATGGCAAAAGAGCACTTGAGATGTGTAGGGTGCTTACTGAAACCTTTTTTCAAGTGAACCCAGTTACATGTGGTAACAATTCATTGGACAGAATTATAGGTCATGGTTTAAATATTTTGGTGGATATAAGGATTATAAGCCCTATTTCACCCTATAACAATTTACTTTTATTACTCTGTCTTATGCCACTGCCAGAGATTCGGCTGGAAGGTGAAGGTTCATCATGTTACTAGATTAATTAGACTCCCATACATGTTCTGAATATTTTGATGTTGAGTTTATTGTACACATATTAAGATGTAATATTTTAATTGAGAGTTTTGGTTGCTATTATGGGCCTTCCACTGCTTTATTAGGTCATTCACAGCCAATATTTGAATCTCCATAAAAGCTTAATTCAGTAACCAGCCAGTCAAGCTTTAATGTGTCGTATTGTTACTTAATTTTAAGACCAGGACTTTTTTACCATGAAATAGAGGTTCAATCTAAATTTCATGAACATGGATATGCATGTACCAGAGGTTGAGAAAAAGATTTCTTAATAATTTTCTCTTTCAAAGGTGAATTTTTCAAGTGATCAGTTTGTTCCCATAAACGTCTTTCTTTCAAAGAAATCACTCTTCTCATCAAGAGAGTGACACTGTTAAAAGCATCGTTATTGCATCGATATACTACAAACAGGAAGAATGTCTTTCTAAGTTTTTACTTCTTATTTCAAACTTTTATCTTTTTTTTGTTTATAATCAGGATAAAACTCTACACGGTTAAAAACGGTAAAATGTTTAAAATGTACGTTTCGAAATGTAGTACACTAGTTTTTAACATTTTACCGTTTTTATAACTTTTTAGAGTTCTATCCTGATTAAACCAAAACGATAAAAGGAAGAATGTCTTCCATTTTTCTCGGACAATGTACGTTTCTATACAAATCTAATATTTTTCAATATATACATTGAATGTGTTTTTAGGGGGGAAACATATTTTCAAACGTATAGGATTAAGATCCATATACTGTAGCTGATGTCTAAAAGAATAGATGCAGAATGCTACCATAGCTTTTTGAAAATACACAGACGTACAGTGTGTTCCATAACTGTGGTTCCGTGCAGCATGGTTAATAGTGCAGGGAGTCGGGATTTGTGGTGCGCAAGTTTTGTGATGTTGTGCTAAAGCTTTAAGCAGTAAAAAAAGGAGCAGTTATACTGACTCACAGCTCGGCACTGTAAGAAACATGACACAGTCGGCACTGTAAGAAACATGAGATATATGTGCATGATATATCTACCAATACTATACCTCAAATTAAAATTGTTCAATGAAATAAACAGCATTTGTACCACGTGATAATGTGATTTTTTACGGTATTTCACTCAAATTCATGATTTCGCAATGCAGCGTATATCTACCAAAATATATTGCATCATTGCGTATAATTAATCTACAATGTCTTGAGGGGTACTTATCATACTTTGGAAGAAGATCTAATAATTAATGTAGGTCGTTATATATTATGAACTCAAGCAATTGTCACTTTTCCTATTGATTCGCGGCGCGGATCATGATCTCCTTGTTTCAGTAACTACTGTACTTATTACATGTTTATCAGAGTAAAATATACCCGCGGGGTACATTTCGTGCGTGGGAAATGGTTACGTGGTCACATGATTTAGGTTAATGATTTGGCGACAATAGTCGTACGCAGGGAGTCTTATCCTTTTTTGTAATTCATGACTTGACCGTTACAAGTAAGTTCTGGAATCTGACTGTAGGTAACACTTTTAAAAATCTTTTTCGCTTTTGACATTCGTTCATCTCAATATATTATTTTACTGCCAATAATCTGGGAAGTTAACCATATGGTGTAATGTAGAATGTGTATACGAGGTTGTATTAATGAATGGACAAACCTTTTTATATTATATTATATTATATATATTTTATTTATAGGTCAAATACAAAGTGTCGTAAAGCTATAACTAATTTAATTAAATACCCTATACCTAATTATAACATTAATTGTATATTATTCATTTGGGCGTTTTTTTAAGACTCTCAGACTAAAGTTTGTTTGTGTTTGTTGAAAGACGATGTAGGATATTTATTTTCGTCATTTTAACTCTCTTATGTTCAGGTCCAATGTCTGGGACAGGAATCCGTATTTAATCCTGAGCAAGTCATGGCAATGTTGTTAACGTACCTTAAGACAACAGCAGAAAATGCTATTTCTACTAAAGTCGCAGATTGTGTAATATCGGTAAGCGTGAACCAATTCTACATCAATTGTGTGGCATTATATATGGTTGGTCATGTTCATTTAGACCTAATCTGGTTTATATGAAATGGGATTTTATGGACTTTCTTGTCAACTCAAATGACTACTTTAGACACGAAAGTCAGAAGGCATTAACGTATAAACCTTTTTAAAAGGTCTGCCTTGTGACGACGTTTGCGAATAAAGGAAAACCCCGCACAGCCATTTGGCTCGCCTGATTGGCCAAGTGATCGTATTCAAACTTCGTCACAAGGCAGACTTTTTAAAAAGGTGTATTGCCATTTGTGGTACTCAACTAAGAATATGTATTCGGAAACACGGAGTTTCCTCAGCTAAATTCCTTACCTACTGTACATGCTACATGAGCATGGTACAGTATAATACAGTAAATAGCATGACATCATAAATTGTAATACAACAACTCTCTCTAGTATTTTATCTCCTCTCAACCTCTCTTAGACTATCCTCGTCCCCAGGGCCTCTCGGCCGCGCGCGTCCTCCCAAGGCCCTGGGACACACGGAACTGGAAGTGCAAAAAAACTTGTAGTTTCTAAAGCGCATGCTCTTGAAATGGGGCGCTTTAGCACCCGTAACACTTTTCACAATGAAGTATTTGTGTTGACATATTTTGATAGAATAATTTTGCGTAGCGAAAACTGCCCAACTTCTGCGAAATAGCAGTACTCTGAGAAGCCAATCAGATCTCTCCCTTTAGTCGTCTAACCCAGAGCCTAATTTTCAACGAGTGACCGAATACTCTTGAACTGGATATTCTTATGTTATAGGTCCCATGCTACTACACAGACCAGCAGAGAAGAGCGATGCTTGATGCTGCATATATAGCAAGTTTAAACTGTCTGAGGTTGATGAATGATACGACGGCAGGTACGTTACCCAACATTGCACTATGTGGTGTTTTTTTTCTTTTGGCTTCATTTTTTCTTTGCCTGTACAGCTCTGGTTAAATTCTTGGAACCTGCTTAAACGTCAACCACGTAATAGATCAACGTGGTTTTTGTGCATGAGCGAAACAACATCAGTATTTAGTAAAATGTGATTTTTCTGTTCTAGTGGCATTGGCATATGGCATATATAAACAGGATCTTCCTGAAGAAAATGCCAAGTCAAGAAATGTTGCATTTGTTGATTTTGGTCATTCCTCGTTGCAGACGTCGATCGCAGCTTTTAATAAAGGAAAACTAAAGGTGGTGATATCTGATTATAATTCAACTGATTTTATCTTAATGTATATCTTGCAATTTGTAATACTTACTTAATTCACTTGATTCCGTGGCATCCAAAAATTTTGGATGGAATGCTGCTGCTGCTGTTGTTGTTGTCGTTGTTGTTGTTGTTGTTGTTGTTGTTGTTGTTGCTGCTGCTGTTGTTGCTGCTGTTGCTGCTGCTGCTGTTGCTGTTGTTGTTGTTGTTGTTGTTGTTGTTGTTGTTGTTGTTGTTGTTGTTGTTGTTGTTGTTGTTGTTGTTGTTGTTGTTGTTGTTGTTGTTGTTGTTGTTGTTGTTGTTGTTGTTGTTGTTGTTGTTGTTGTTGACGATGATGATATAATATAGAAAGAATATGGAAAGAAAATATATTTCATCATGACAAGGATATTGACAAAAACTTATTAAACAGTATTTGCTCAGTTAAAATGTTGAGAAGCAGTTCTGTCTATTGGATTTACACAAGTACAGTGTCGAATATCTGACTAAAATATCTTGCTATTCTTTTGCTGTTCAGATCCTGACTACCGCATCAGATTCGAGTCTTGGTGGCCGCGATTTTGACACGAAACTTGTTGAACACTTCTGTAAAGATTTCCAGGTAATTTAGCAAACAAAGCAACAGTTTAAAAATTGAATGAATTAGGACAAATTCATACTATCAATTCAGGGCGACACAGTATATAACTGGTGTTTTGCGCGTTGTCACGAATTGTTTTTTATTATAAATGTGTTTTCCAATGAGAAAATTCGCCTAGTCACAAACGCATATGAATGAAGAATGTTTAAACTTCTTTTTAAGACTCGTTATAAAATTAACGTGAAAGAGAATAAGAAAGCTTACCTAAGACTAGAAGCAGAATGTGACAAGTTAAAGAAGGTGATGAGTTCTAACTCAGTCGAGATACCCATGGCTATTGATAATTATGTTGATGATAAAGATGTTGTGGGCAGGATGAAAAGGTAAACAACGATTTTGAATGAAGGTTAACCCATTGAGCACCAGCGCTCTCCCCTTGACGAGTGAAGTCGTCTGGCATTAAACAGAGTAAAATAATTAAGTAGGGCGCATTGGGGCGCAATGCGACCTCATGGGCTAAACAAAGTCAACTGAAGTAAGGTGGTGGTGGCATTAACCAGTAAATGCTCCGCTAGATTTTTACTGTATCAAGTTTTATGATACAAGTAGGTGATTTGTCGCATTTGACCCTGAAAAGTGCTCTAAGCGTGTTCGATTTTGCGTACCATTGCATGCATTATTGCACATTCCATTATCCTAAGCAAAACGTAGAATCCAGACACTGATCCAGCCACACCAAACACGTCATGTTTTCACAATTATGTAAACAGTCACAAACAACAAATTTGTAAACGGTGGCCCACCCGATAGCTTCTCAGCTACTTTGCATGGCCACTGTACACGATATAATACCATAATTAACTCTCTTTTCCATTATAATAATTTTTGTGATGTAATTAATGTGTAACTATATCTTTTGTAAAACGTGTGAAATAATCTTGAATCTTGAAACCGTGGGCACACGAGTCAGTTTTTATGATAACCTCTTGCGTTGTGAATTTGGTAGTAGAATCCACAGTTATACACAGGTTGGAGGAGCTAATGACATGTTTTATGCATTATATCAGAAAAAGGTTTTGTCCGTCAACGTAAATTGGGAAAGTTTTTTGACCGATTAAAGTCCTTGTGTAGGAATAAATAGTGTTTTTTCAACATGTTTCTCCTTAGATGCAAACAACGGCAGTGCCCTGGTTTTGTACATTTCATTTCCAGTGAATGAGCACTGAAAAATGCACCCGATGGCACTTCGTTTTGTATATTTCATTTCTGGTTCACGAATGAACACGGATGCACACCGATTACACTTTGTTTTGTAGATTTCATTTCAGTGAATACACACCCAATATGAATGAAACGCGATACATTTTGAGAAAATAGTTAATAGGAAAAAGTAAATAACACGTTCTTTGATATAATAAATAAATATAAAATCAAACGCAATGCACTTTCTCATCAGAAAAAATGAAAATATACCAGTAGACCCAGTTGGGAAAGCCCCTTAGCTACTTCAATTGGGAAGAGTCCGTCAAACGGACAGTATATGGGCCAGCTAACACCCTGATTAGACTAGTTTTATGGATTCTATTGTCAAAGGTTATAATAAAAATGCAAGACATTATGTTTGTAGTCCAAAATGACTCCTCTGCCCCCCTGTGCTATCAATATAAAAGAATTCCAAATCAACACCAATAAGGCGTATTACCAAACGAAAATATACTGGAATTACTATACAGTACTTCTCATGTTTGAACATGTTGTTTGTGCATTTTTTAGAGAAACGTTTGAAGCAATGTGTTCACAATTATTGATAAGAGTAGAAAATTGTCTCAAACAGTTGCTTGAGAATTCAGGTTTGTTAAGTAATTGACTTTTCGTATTCGTTAGTGATGTGCACTGTTGTTATAATAAATAGGTTGCAAACCATAAATTCTCTATTTGAATATTTTTGGAGACAACAGTGTTGTACAGCCTGACCTGTACAATACATGACGGAATCATTCAATATTTAGTAGAGCAAGTGGGCTGCAACAGGGTAATGTTACGGGTAATTGGTGATATCTCATTTCCTTGCCCTGATCGCTTATTTGAGGGCGGCACTTTTTTGAAGGCGGCGCTTTTTTGAAGGCGGCGCTCTTTGCATGGAAAGGATAGTCACAAGAAACTTTCAAAACTTTAAAAATTGAAACTTCTATTGTCCAGACAGGATTTCTGCTAGGAAATTCGTTTTGATGTTTTGGGTTAACCTATAGGATTAAGCTAACCAACGTTTGAACAACCTGGCCCTGTACTACAGTATAAATATAGGGGGAAAATCCAATTTGGGGTTTATAAATATTGAGTTGTACTTAGAGTCTCAGTGGTTGCACTGTTGTTGTTTTTAGTTTATCTGTTCCACTCACTCTAGTGGCCTACGGCGCACTAATTAAGTACATATCTCGATCTGGAGCATCTACACTCAATGAACTAATTGTAGAAGGATTTTGTAGATGGAAGTTTGGAGTGTGAATTTTATACATTTACTAGACTAGACAGAGGACCTATAGTTGCATTTTTCGCAACTGCTCATGTTTAAATCTACTTTCTCGAATCTTCTCTCTCAGCTCTATCACCTTCACTTCCTGTCTTATGTCTCATTCTATCTCGTCTTGTTACATCTCTATTGGCTCGTAGACATCTCATCTCTGCCATTTCCAATTTCTTCACATGCTCTTCCTTTACTGCCCAGGTCTCTGCCCCACAAGGAATCACCGGTCTTACCATCGTTTTGTACACCTGCGTTTTCAGTCCCGTTTAAATCTAATAAATGTATAAAGTTCATACTCGAAATTTCCATCTACAAAATCCTTCTACCAACACTTAAATACCGTGTCGTTGTGAATAGGTGCAAGGGAAGCGCTCTTTTAAGGAGTTCATTCTTTTAGGCGCCCGTGTTCAAGGGCGACGCTTAAACGAATAGATTCGGTAATTCTGGTGTTTGTTACAAAAATGTTTGCGAATGGGGCAACCAGGTAGTGATGCTAATAGTTTGTTTGTGTCCAACATCCTGCTTTAAAATTGTAGTAGCGGTTCTAATCATGTTTTTATATTTTGAAAGGATTAAAGAAAGAAGATATTGATGCCGTCGAGATCGTTGGAGGATCAACTCGAATTCCCGCTGTAAAAAGTTACATTCGTAAAGTATTTGGAAAAGAAACCAGTACAACCTTAAATACTGATGAAGCTGTAGCTAGAGGTTGTTCTTTGCAGGTACTCACTGAACAAGATTTTTACCCATATTTTTCTATGCAAATGCATGAGAGTTGATTTCACTATTAGTGACCGGATATTGTAAGCATGTAGAACGTGAACGCGACGCCGACAGCGAACGTTGAACCAAATAATTGCAGACGAAAAGTTATCGTCAATTATCCATCGTATGAAAAATAATACAGTTTAAGGATTAAGGTTAACACAGGGTTTGATTGAGAAAAGTTATAGGACACCATGTCCCAGCTTTGAATGTCAGCGTTGTAAACAAGACGTGATGATCTGTATTTTGCCGTTGTAAACAGAGCGACGGCAACGTCTTAAACTTCCGTGGGATTTTAATAATTGTTCATTTCTGTTCATTTTCTTGTATTAATATGATATTAATAGCCGTCCTCGTTGCACTTTTGTCCAGCTTGTTGAGGTTCTTTGTAATTATAAAAGTGTAAAATTTAAAGTGCACCTAACCTCAATTCTTCTAACATCTCATTCGTAAGAACATTTGATATTGTAACTTATTTTGAAGATTTTCGTTTGCACACTTTGTCTCTGAGTTATTTCAGTTTTATTGTACACTGTATGCAAATGTCCGGAATTGAATTTACGTCACATATGAATAATGACTGATTAGAAATGTACGGCACAGTTAAATATCATGAAAAAAAAAGGCTAAATGGTGCTTTACATAGGTATGTAATCCTCCCACAACTCCAAACTTCATTTTAATGAATTAAACTCGATAGTGAATACGATATACAAGCTTTTACTTTAAGTCATTGTGCATTTGTGACGTAAAATCCGGATATTTGCATACCAAACAAACTGAAATATCTCAGAAACAAAGTGAGGAAACGAAAATCTTCAAAATAAGTTATTATATCATTTCAGAAGTTCTTAAGAATGAATTAATGATAAAAAGAATCGTGGTAAGGTGCACTTTAAAGCTTTTTTTGTCACGTCTCCGTACTAGATTAATTAAGCCTTGCTTAAGTTCGTGTACACAATGTGCGTGTGCTTTTTATAACTTATGAATAGTACTTTGCTAGTATTAGAGATTTCACAGCAAGTACGGCATTGTAAAGCTTTTACAATGTATAATTTTAAATGTTGCATTTAGCATTTCACACTCGATATTCTTTGTTGTGTTGTATTAACGTCTACCTATTCGTTTTCTAGTGTGCTATGTTATCTCCTGCATTCCGTGTTCGAGATTTCAACGTACAGGATGTCACACCGTATCCTATCAAACTTACTTGGGACTCAGTTGGAGGAGAAGATTCTGGGTTAGTATTTACCGTGCGCTGGTTTGTTCACTGTTTGGCAGTGCTTTTCAGAAGCTGACTCGTCCCCAGACTTGCTGATATGAAAAAGGAAAGCGTGTCTTTGGGTCCAATTGTTCCAAGCCGAAAGCGCCTGCCTTGCAGGGCTGCATGATCTTAATTTTTTTAAGCAAATGTGAAGACTGCAAGAGTCCGTTATCGTGTGGTACACGCGAATGAAAGAAATCACGATATGTGCCGCTCAATTAGGGTCAGATTAAGATTAGGTTCGCCTTCTTTTAAAGACCGCGACAATAACAAGTTAGTGCAACTCTCTATATGTGGGCCTATGGCAACAAGACTGGTTTTTGTGTGTTGGGCGGTGTTGAAGTGATTTGCGTATACGATAGTAAAGAGATTCAAATTTACCGCTACCATTAACCAATCAGGTGCGTTTAATCTACCCGATTAACCAATCAGATGCATATACTGAGCCATTGAGAAGTAGCGGAAGTGAAGTATAAACCTCACTATTGTTGTAAATGTCGGGCAGCACAAAATATTTTTGCGCCGTGAACATAAGCAGTTTATTCCTTGCATAGCGTACAAAGTTTGTATAGTGTAACCTGAACTTCAGAGGAAAATCTAAATTAAGTGAATTTGTTTTTCAGAGCAATGGATGTCTGCGAAAATGGTCATGCTTTTCCTTTCCTCAAACAGTTAACGTTCTATAGAAAAGAGGCGTTTGATTTGAGTGCGTTCTACACACGTGAAAATTCTCAAGCAGTAATAGGTATAGTTGGCAACTTGGCATGTTTTTCGCTATCATATCTCACGTTAAAATACCTTCCTCATGCAAATACTCTACGTGTAGCGTATATGCTTACATTAGTTTGCTTTATTATATTATTAAAGTGATTGTAGTTTGTTCATCTCTTCGCTTTATGGCTTTGCAATTACCCCTTTCTATGAAAATTAAATATAATATGTGACGGAGTAAGCCGTCTTCTTCGAGGGACCTCTTTTCTTCCATGAAGAATTTAGTGCCCAGTGTTGGTAAATAAGGCCAATCCGGGAACGGAAGCCACAGTTCTGACGGATGAAGTCTCTTCCGAGTAGTAGCGGGGTAAGGGTGACGTCTCTAGTTCTCCACGTGCACGCAAATGCTGCTTCGTGTCTTCAATTTGGTTGTCCTTAAAATCTGTTCTTTATAGCAGATTTTGTGCTGTTCAGATCGGTTTGTTGTCACTGCAATGTGCAAGTTAACAGACTATGATATATAATCTTGAACTGTCTGTGCCAGTGTAGGTTGTGCCAATAATATTATCAAACTTTCGTTGGTAGGGATGCAACTACCTGAAAAATATAAGCAGAATTTCGACGTTTCAAGCGAAGGCCAATCCATCTGATTGGGGTTTTTTTTGTCACGTGCATGATCGCTTTTATATTCTTAGTATAAAATCTCATGTAATTTTCTCGACCCCCGCTAGTAACTCCAGACGAAGGGGCTTCGCTCAAAACGTCGAAACTCTTTCTATATATATTTTCAGGTAGTTGCATCCCTACCAACGAAAGCTTGTTCATATTTATATATATAATCTATATCTGTTTTGTGCGTTAAGGTCGATTTTCAGTGAAAAACGTTACACCAACAAAGGATGGTGAATCTTCAAAAATCAAAGTAAAAATTCGTATGGATATCCATGGTATCTTCTACGTCTCTAAAGCGCAAATGATTGAGAAGATGCCATCCGATGACGAATCTGTTAATGAACCAATGGAAACGCAGGCTGCAGCCGAGGCTGAGAACACTGACAGCAACATTGCGGATGCACAGAACGGTGTTAAAGATGGAGCTCAGGTACAATATTTTCTGTAAATGACTCCTCGTATTTACACTCACTGCAGACGAAACATTTTGCACCTTCGCATTATTAACTTGGTTCGTGCCAAAAAGCCCAAATGTTTCTTGTTAAATGTGCGCTCACCATGCAGCAATTACGACAATAATTTAAAGAATAAGCGCAATACACGCTTCCGGAAAGTACGTCACTTTGGCTATAGAACCTCGTTTTCGTGTATGTGACATCAGTTAAAGTCCACGTCTCAATCACGAAAACGAGGCTCTATAGCCAAGGTGATGTACTTTCCGGAAGCGTGCATTACTGACGTTTAATTCTGTTACCCCCAGTAATAGATAACGTCGGACAATGTCACTTTGTTTAGAAAATATTGCAACTGGAAACTCTTTCACTCCTTTACAATAGTCCTTGTTTATATTAACGTGAAATTTTATATTACGTGTGGCTGTGCAAGGTCGTCATAATTTGGTCTTGTGACTATCTCGAAATATACAAATAGAATTCAACATCACTGAATTCAACATGTCAGACATCAACAAGGTTTGGGAATTAACAGTTGAAATTTTGAAATATATACTTGTATTTAATCATCGATAACCATGCGTTTTCTCCGCGGTGCATTCTATTTTGGGTCGGCACGAAGCTCTAGGAATCTGTTCTGTGATTGGTTGATTATGACAAAAGAATAAGCTATAGAATGGATTTTCTAAAGAACGAAGCAAGAACGATATTCCTTTTGTTTATGTAAGCCAATTACGTCTTTTGTCATTGTCATAGTCAACCAGTCACAGAACATCTTCCTTGCGTACTACACACAATAATCTACAAGAATATATAATGTACACTATGTTACTGTTATGTGATTATTCGGCTATGGGTGTAAGAGTTTTGTGCATTGTATATAGGTAGACAAAACAACACTGGGAAACATGTCAACTAGGTGATCTTACTTTGACGAAAGCAAATGAAACGATCCAACAAAGAAAACTTTAGCAACTACAATGCAGTATTTTAGTATAGGTAATAGTACAGTTTCGAGTGCAATTTGGGAAAAAACATGCACGAGTGAGTTTTCCATAGTTAATAGAGGAGATGGTTTGGAAACTCATTTGCATTACAATAAACCTTATTATCTATGTTTTTGTTCAGGTTTATGCAAAAATGTAGTCTTTCATCGTCACGTGCGTATTGTATTTTTGCTCAACCAGCCAATAGCAACGGTTTTGTTCAGTTGCCCATCCGTGACTTTAACAATAGATTATTTTGAACATTCCTATTGGTTGACTTGGGAAAAATACAATACGCACGTGACGATGAAAGACCACATTTTTGCATAAACCTGAACAACATAAGATAATGAGGTTTATTGTGATTTTATTGTAATGCTAATGAGTTCCAAACCATCTCTTCTATTAACTATGGTTTTTCAAGGACTATCAAAATTGCACGAGTCCGAAGGACGAGTGCAATTTGAAGTCTTTGAAAAACTCACAAGTGTATGTTTTTCAAATTGCACGAGAAACCATACTATTAGTAATAATATACTGAAAAAATTATGAAAAAATTATGTAGTCACGTGCGTAAGTCACATTAAGAGAATTTAGAAAATTAAGAAATTTGTACTGTATTCTTTTTTTGCACTGTATATCATTTTTTGGCACTATATTTTAGCCAATCAAAATTGAATTTTTTTAATGTATATTATTAACACTGAAACATCACGACTCATTTGGTGTTGGTGTACTACTAAAGTTTTCTTTGTTGGATCTTTCATTTGCTTTCAAAAAGTGAACATTGCTTAGCAACACTAAATCACGTCCGGTTTTTATGGGTCTTTATTCTGCGCTACTGATTTATATCTGACAAATACCGTACGTTACAGTATAAATTATGGACCTTAAAGATGATGTCCACTCCGTTCTGCGCATCAGTTCTGCTCATAACAAAGGGGGACCCCCAGATATAAACATTGCCCAAATTTTGCATCTTTCGAACGTTTTTGAATTGTAACGTACAGTTTATATTCATTTACAAGTATAGCGAACCAGAAAAGTGTTAGATATTCAGTTAGTATATCATATTTTACAAATATAGCAGTACAAAACGTAAACAAAGTTCGCGCATGTGCACAGGAGTGGACATAATCTTTAAGCAAGCGACGTTTTTTGTCAGCACAGTGTCACGGACGTTATGCAGATTGCCAGTGAGGGACTGGATTAAAAACTGTGTTCGTGTCAGTTTGTGGTAATCTTCAACACATGTAACAAAACATAAGATTTTTTGATTTTTTATGCATCCTCGTCCTCGGCGCCCGAGGTTGGGCCTGGGGACGAGGATGGCTATGGCGAAAATGGCGCTAATATTAGTTATACTAATTTTCGGGTGACCTCCGTGTTGACAGAAACGTTGCTTAAGCTCACTTTTATGTTCTGTTGATATAGGGTGAAGATCAAAGTGATGCGAAAAAAGAAGATGCACAGCAACCCATGGATACAGATGAGGTACGTTTTTTTTTTTATTTATTTATTTAGCTTTGCCAACTAGGGCAGGGTCACCACAACAGCATATGCCAATTACTGTGGGCCCTTTTTTTTTTACCTAACCCACCCTGTCAACTTTCCCTGTGGGAGGAAACCGGAGTACCCGGGGAAAACCCACGGCTTTCGGCAGAGCGTTGACTTTTACTCTTTTCACATGGGGACTGGGTTCGAGTCGCACTGAGAAGGTACTTAGTGAGACTCGAACCTGCAGCCTCAGAGGTGAAAGGCAAGTGCGCTAACCACTTGGCCACCGTTGCCCCTAAATACGAGAAATTATAAGACTTCAAAAGCTTACTTACGTTACAAGTAGACTTATTAAAAATAAAGCGTGCAAAATTTCTATTTCGTCAAAGTCATGGTCGCCGATGTGAAATGGCTCCATCTATTTTGTCATTTGTATGATGTGTGCAAGTCAGTATTTACGCATATATTTAGATACTTTCACAAATATTAGCAAATTGCCAAAGCAAATTGCTAAATTATTGAAAATTTCCTAACGTGAATGTAACTTTAATGAGGATTTGTAATGAAAATGATGTTACACGAAAGTTGATTGGTTCGTCTACGCGTTTCGGATCGTCGTTGAAAATTGTCCCGTGTAACATCATCGCCCTTATCAGTACGAGACATATTCAACGTAAAGCCAGTCAGCTTAATCCTAGGTTACCGAAATTACATAGCAATCTTCCAACAGCTTGTTTATTAACATGGAAATATTTTTCCAGAAATCTTGTCTGGATGATTAGAAGTATTATTTTCCAAAGTTTTGAGAGAAAAGGAAGTGCAGATGTACCCAAACCGAAACAGCGGGTTAAATTTTAATCCAGGGTTAGGGCTAATCCAGTTTTGAACAACCTGCCTCAGAGCTATAAGGGTAGCTTAATCCTGGATTAGCGTGAAGCGTCAAATTAACAACTGAACAGGCAAAGTCTTATCTATTTGTTTTATATAATAAAAAGAAAACCCTCGAATTAAACAGGTAAATAGCTTACTTTTTATCTACTCAAACATTTGGAAATTTGAAAAAATCGAAATTTTACAAATATCATGCACGCATACGTAACCTATACAAACAAGGGAATGCTATTGGCTACCTTGAGTTACATGCTGTATTGTGATCGGCTGTTCTTGTTCAATAGAACTTTTATTTTTTAAAGCTATAAAACAAATCGAGGCGCAAACCAAAACAGGAGTTAAATTCTACCCATGCAGGCTCGGCCCTAATCCAAATTTTTGAACAACCGGCCCTGAAGTCTATATATACCTAAATATTCCAGTACTTCTGTATCCTGTACCTTACTTTAAAATATCTTTGTTTACTACAAGGCATCAAATGACGCTGCCTCCGGTACTAACAACACTGATCAAGGAGAGCCCATGTCTGAAAACAACCCAGAACCAGCTGCAAATGAAGGAGAAAAACAGGGCACTCCAAAGAAACAAGACACTCCAAAGAAACAAGAAGAACCTAAATCGGCGAAGAAGAAGAAGCCAACGACAAAAACTGTCGATCTTAAAGTTGAACATTTCGTATCCTCTCTTTCTCAACCTGAATTGAACAAAGTCGTTGAACGGGAGGTGGGTAGATCATATTTGATGGGAGTGGGCTATTTGGAGTGAGGAGCTTTAAGGCAAGAGGGGTATTGAAATAGCCGAGTACGTTCCGCCCTATCATGATGTGATAATTAAAGGTTTCTAGAAGAACGCCAGCAAATGAACTTGCAGATCATATGCATGGCCGAAAAAATTTTCATGGTCGATCAGGACTAATTTGCATCCCTCTGTTGTAAACGAGAGTGGCTTAAAAGATGGGTAGAGCATAAATGAATGGGGTTCATTTGAAAGAGGGCATTGCTTGTTGATTTATTGTCTATTGGATTGAAAAACACCATGATTATTTGTTTGGAAAAGCTTTCGATTCGTAAGCGAATCATCATCAATGCGGATAATACTGTATAAAGCTTTGAAAGAAACCTTCAGGAAAGTTGTAGGAAGCTTGGTGAAATCAATAATCATGGTGTTTTTCAAAAACAGTTCTTGGAACAATTTGTTTCGGTTTGTGGAAAACACCATGTATATTTATTATCGTGAAGCTTTTGATTCGTAAGCAAGGATCTTCAACAGTGAAAATATATATTATTACATATATAATAATATATATGAAAAGTTACTCAATGCTGAAAGCAGTGGATTTTTTATTGCACCGCAGTGCAATTTCTGCAGTGCAAATTAACAAAACAAGAGAATGACTCACTCGTGCATGTTTTTTTCTCTCCCCAAATTGCACTCGAAACCATACTATTACCTATAAGTGGGTTTCACTCAAGACTTATACAATAGGGAAACGCTTGTCGCTTGGTTGTCAAATTTACACATATTTCCGCTCTATTTCGTTAAATTGCATATATTTGATACCAAACACAAGATCAATATTTATATTGAATATTTAATTAACCGGTAAATGTGTTTCCATTTGGAGTCATTGAACTATAAATAAACTGGAACGCTAACTGCTATGATGAAGGCCTATGATTTGATGAAGCCGAAATAGTTTTTCTGAGTTATGAGCAGAAATACTTGACCCCAAACGTCGGGCTATATATCAAATTGTAGCTATTGAAAATTGCTATTCGGTGTGGAAATTTCAAGACTTCAGCGAAAAGAAAAATATTTTAAAAATACAAAAACAACTGCAAAACGGCAAATTATCGGTAATTATGTTTGTAGTTTTTCAATATTTCCCTTTTAGCTAAAGTCTTGAAATTTCTACACCAAATAGCGTTTTTCAATAGCTTCAATTTGATATATAGCCCAACATTCAGTGTTGAGTATTTCCGCTCATAACTCAGAAAAACTAAAATACACTGGCTTCAATCCCCCCCCCTGAGTTAGCCTTCCAGTTTATTTATAGTTCAATGTTTGGAGTCGACCACCAAGCGCTTAACGTATCACGTGACTGAAACCCACTATACTAATTAGCACTGATAAAAATCGACTTAGGAATGAACGCTTTTCAATAATACATCTGCATGACGTTCCCATACACAAACCAAAACAAAGAACGTAGCTTAACATCTACAGCTAAACATGGTGCATGCCTGTTAAATTGTTTTTTTATTCTTTAGAATGAATTAATTTCCCGTGACCGTCAAGAGAACGACCGCATACATGCAATTAATGCTCTAGAAGAATATGTCCTGCAAACACGAAGTAAATTGTCTGCTGAATATGAGAAATTTGTCACTGATGAGGTGAATTGAATATATTCAATCAACATCTTGCATTTATGGTTGTGAAAAGTTAATAAGTTTGTTTATCACAGTTTATCACCTTTATCAGACATAAGGTGACATAAAATAATTGTTGCATTGGGGCAATGATTATTTTAAAAATAAATTCTGACCTTGATAAAGGCACAAGTATGTGCATGACAAACAGGTTATCATAATCGGGGTGAGGTGATATCAGTTTTACCGCTTTCAGTACGATATCATAAATGTCCCGCGTTCGCTGCGCTCTCTCGTGACATTTATGATATCGTCCTTCAAACGATAAAACTGATATCACCTTGTCCCTCATATGATAACCTATACTTATAGCTAGTATAAATACTTTTAGGACTTTCTATCATTATATGTTTTTCAGTTGGTTTAGAAGGGAAAAAATAAACGCATGCAGCCATGTTACATGGGGCAATCTATACGGCTATCAACACCAAGTTCAGACTTGAAAAAAGTATTCGCAGAGAAATTGTGAGCAAGGTCGCCGCTTTACTCCGCCGACGTTGTCCTTGAATACCCAAGATGCCCCAAAATGAACAGAAAGGAAAATATCGGTTGCTCCTGTTTGTAGAAAGCTCCCTCGTGCATGTTATTACTAAATTGCACTCTAAATCATACTGTACATTTTTGCAGGAGAGAGGATCGTTTGTGAAGAAACTAGATGACGCTGAAGAGTGGTTATATGATGAAGGCGAAGACCAAATCAAGAGTGTTTACCAGGGGAAGTTGGAGTCATTAAAGGTACGGCTTGATTTGTTTCTTCGGGAAGAATTCTTTAAAATTCCCTTCTCCAACTAGAAAAAATATATAATATATTGCCATTTGTTTGGTCGCCTGTGGTGGGGGATATCGTACGTTTGGTAAAAGAACAGGACGATAAAAAAGAATAAACGAGAAAAAGGGGAAGAAGGGAATGGCGAAGAGAAGGACGGGGGGAGGAAATCGGGTTAATATACTGGTTGTAAATAAAAACATCGAAATAGAAACAGGAAAGTATTTGTTCCACGGAAATGATTTGTTCCACGGTTAGAATTGCAAGTCGAGCATTAAAAGCTGCGTAATTCTTCGAGTTTGATCGAAATGAAAAATTGTAGTTTTTGTGTAAACTGTTGCCCAGGGATGGAAAAAGTATCGGAACCTGGGAACCTAGTTCCCAGAAAGTTTTTTGAGTTGAGAGTTTCACAGAAAATTTTCCAGAAAATATTTCAACATTTTGAGATAACTCTGTTTACTCCACTTACAAGTTACAACTATTCTACTTTATTTACACTGTACACTGTACAGTGTAGACACTAACATCAGCAGCCTTTTAAATATTTGACAGAAAGTAATTCTGTTACCCACCGCTGCCAACATAATGAGGTAAAATGGTAAACATATGCTCTGCAAAGTCTCCAATAAAATGCAAATTAAATAGTAAACAAGTCCCAGCGCTATAATGCTATTATTATACTGATATAATACTACCGGGCGGAACAAAAAATGGCCTGTTTGATTTATTTTAACTTAAAAACTAAAAGAGCTATTACACCTAAACTATGTGCATTGTATTCAGTATTGTCTAACTTAATTTTTTATATACACCCTGTGCATTTTCGTGCAATATTGACAGAGAGATCTGCGTTTAAACTCGAATAAACATTTTGGGAAGTGTCGAGAATTAGCTAAAAACAGCCTGTTAAACTAATTTGATAACCATTACCATTTTATTGTAAATATTCGTTTCAATGAAATGAAGTTTAAATTAAAATGTTTACTGGATGGATGTGCTCTTTTATTTTTGTTTTAAGGTCTTTGCGAATGCAGGAAAATTAACTTATAATGCGATTGTGATTAAAAGATTTATTCTAAATATTCAATGACCCTGCATGGAAATCAAATTCTAATGTTCCAAGAAAGAAACGTCCCGTGTTTTTTATAAATATGCCTCATTTAATGAAGGACCAAAGAGTGTCGATATATTTATAATATATAAGGGTAAATAATGCTCGTGAGGTTATACCGGCGGGGCGTTGGCCAGGTCTCTGAAAACGAACGTGTATTTTTTTACTATAGTGTGTCTAAACACAGGTTATTGCTGTATTCATATTTGATAGGCCGTTTTTGGTTAATTCTCAACCCTTTCAAAAATGGTTACTCGAGTTTAAACATAGCTCTGTTGGTCAATATTGCACAAAAAAGGCAGGGCGTATATTAAAATTTAAGTTAGACAATACTGAATACAATACACGTAGTTCACATGTAATAGCTCTTTTAGTTTTTAAGTTAAAACAAATCACACCGGGCAACTTTTTTTTGTGCCACCCCCGGTACTATAATAAATAATAATGAATTAAAATAATACAGTACATTAAATTTAAGTAGAATAAATTAATTTAATACAGACACTCACTCAGACTATGATATATTTTATACCTTTAAACTGTGGTATATAACAGACAACCATTGAGATGCACAAGCATACGAAAACCAGCATAAAGCCTATTATTATTAAAGTACAAATAATACAATAATTATGCATTTGTTTTGTCACCTCTGTAATTGTAACATTGCAAATTTCACAGAAAATTTTTAGCCTTTGACCTAGGTTCCCAGAAAGAAAAAAAATTCCACTCCTGCTGTTGCCGTGAATTCTCGTTTATTGCATGTATTGTCCGCCATTTTTGGGCGGCAAACTGAACAGCAAATTAAAGGGAATGTGTCCATTTTAGAAAATTGGAGATCCTATTTGTCTACGATTCAATGAAGCACAAACTAGACCTCAAGCGTTAGAGTCTTTGGGACACGAAATTCAACTGTGTAAAAAGTTCTTAGATTTATATGAACAAAAGGTACGTAGCATGCATTTAGTTAATTTGTATTCTTTAGTTTTATATATTTCGGCTTCTTATAAATATACGAGGTTTCTGATAAATGGTCAGAGATTTCCACTTGATAAAGGATAAGTCCTTGGTAAATGATATTCACTTGATAATGAGTTTCTAGCTTATTTTACTTTGGCTTTATTAAAGGGCTGCATGAGAATGCATGATGAAGTTCTTGGTTTGTATGCGTGAGTTGAGAATTTTGTATAATCTGCTTTCTATTTCCTTACTTTATCTGCGTTTGGATCAGGATGAGAAATATGAACACTTAGAGGCTGCTGAAGTTAAAAAAGTCGAAGAAGCTGTTTCAGAGAAACAAAAATGGTTGGATGAAATGTGGAATAAGGTGAACAAACAAGCACCACACGAGCCTCCTGCTGTATTAACTGCTGCTATATTTGAAGAAAAACAGGTATGAAAATAGCAGGGCTGATTTATTTTGGTGCACGCGAGCAAAATCTTTGTAAATTTACCTTATCGTAAAGTGCAATCCTTTGTTCACGTTTTCATCTCTCAACGTCTTGGTGCATGCTGTGTTCGTTCTCGCTTATTTTGGGGGTGCTTTTAGAGTATTTTTTTAAACTTTTTTTGTCGCAGCCGGCAGGGCATTGTCGCAGCCGGCAGGGCATGCAATCAATTTGTCGCAGCCGGCAGGGCATGCAATCAAATTGTGAGATTCGCCAAAACAAGCGTGGCCATATAATAAGCTACAATCACGGTTAATAGCTACAATAGACTATTTCCGAAGTACGCTCTAATTGTCAAGAACAATAACACCAAGTCGAGGTTTAGTGCTAAATTGTCATAGAAACATTACAATTTTCCACGAAGCCTCGTTTTCAGGCTATTATTTGTGGACAAATGGCATGTCAAATGACCGTTATTCGGAAATGACCTTTTCAACCGTCGCTCTTGGTTTCCTCTCAATTTTGCACGAAGCCTCGTTTTCAGGCTATTATTTGTGGACAAATGGTATATCAAATGACCGTTATTCGGAAATGACCTTTTTTTGGTTTCCTTTCAATGCAATATGTTGTCTCTTACCGGGTAACCACTTGCCTAAGTATAGCCAAATTCTGGGGACAAGATTCCGTTCCTTTGCGTTCAGCCTTGTAAATTGTCTTTAATGACTTTAGTGTGCGTGACATCATTACTAAGTACAATTGTTGGCTATTTGACAAGAGTGAAGAGTCGTAAATTAATTTCAAGAAAAGATTTTTATCTTCATTTTTATAGTTTCTAAATCAACTACTTTCTAACATTATGTAGAAATTTGAGAACATATATAAACCTATCGTGAATAAACCCAAACCTAAACCAAAGGAGGAACCGCCTAAAGATGAAACGAAAGATGAGAAGAAAGATGAGAAAAACGATAATAAAGATGAGACGAGTGAAGATAAACCAGAAGAAGAAGGCAATAAAGAAAATGAAGGTAAAGAAGAAAACGAAGTTAAAGAAGAAAACGAAGTTAAAGAAGAAAATAAACAGACCAATGATATGGACGTTGACTAATAAATACAATATAAAGTTGCTTATCGAAGATAAGAAGCTTGCGTTTTAGTCACTGCTTTTTTGCGCTGAACGTGTAGTTGCGTTCCATGTCTAGCTTTGCAGTCCAGATCCAATTGTTGTTATACTAGGATCGAGAATTTGAGATTTTGACTCAAAATCAAAATATGTTCAACGTCAAGTGAGCACTCATTAAATCGAACATTGTTAAACATGACTAAGGCAATGGAAATCTGAGATTCTTGACCCTTGTCAAACAAACATACAAACATTGTGAATGTGCAATACCAAGCATAGTGCTAGTATAGCTAACAATTTAGGAATTAATATCAATTATGATACTTTCAAAATGATTTTGTAATACCTTTAAATTTACCTGTAATAGAGATGAAAAAAGAAAGATTTTTATAGGTGTCATAACATACACTCACGAGTGATGTCTTTCGACACAGTTACATATCGTCTTTATGTAGTTAGATTAATCGGTTTTACAAGTGATAATGGTTATTTTCTTTCTTGTAATTCTCTTGTATTTCATGGTTATTGTGGTTCTCTTTAAGGCTTCTTGTAGTTCTCATGATTCTGCATTGTTCTGGCGGCTCTAAACGTTATTTAGGTTCTTGTGGTCATCTTGGTGCTTGCATGTGGCTAGCCTGCGTAGCAGCTGGTTTTTAAGGGGCGCCGTTCTTCGGCATTTTGCTTATTTCGGTGCGCTGCCCTTCAATCAAAATTAAAGCCACATACATATAGGAGAAACTATTTATTACAAAATGATTGTGCGATGCACCACTTGTATAAGATGCTAGTATCTCGCGTGAGGGGACCAGCTAAACCGAGAGTTATGAAGTGGAGAGTTATCTTGGAGAGTTATGATTTCGGAGAGTTATGTTCGAACCACGCCCACTTTCCCCAATGACCATACCCAATTTCTTAACTCTCCCGATGTTTCCTTGAACTAACATGAGAGAGTTATGTTTGACGTAACACTCTCTCGTTAACATTATGAAGATGTTAGAGAGTTATCATTTTTTATAACTCTCCGCGTTCTCGATTGTGGCAATGCCAATGAAGAGAGTTATGTCCGTCTGTTTTTTGAAAAACACTTCCACATTTTAGTAAATTATTGTGAATTTACTTTTTTCTCACGTTTCAGCTTTAACATTTCACGCTAGTAGAAACTTGTAGTAATTTAGTACTTACCAAGTGAAACGAGTACGAGTAAATATATTATTATACATGCTCACTTGGATTATCTACAAAACACAGCATTCAAATGCAGCTCTCGTATTAGATAGACCCAGAAAACCTTTCCAATGTAATGCCCTATTAGCTGATCTGGGAAAGTATTTCCAAAACCTGAGTTTCTTGCAACTGTGCTTACCGTATGCCAAATACACGTCAAATCATGCTTCTGCTGGGGGTACTTTGACCCTTCTGATGCAAGCATCTCATTGTTTTGACTGAGTCAAGTTGTACTATTTCCTGTTTGGACGCATGCTATTGACACGCTACAAACTGAAGTACCAAAATATAAGATGAAAATCTGAAGAAACAAGCTTTACTACGGTTTTCTCAAAAAACTGACATAACTCTCTTCATCGCCACAATCGTGAACGCGGAGAGTTATAAAAAATGACAACTCTCTAACATCTTCATAATGTTAACGAGAGAGAGTTACGTCAAACATAACTCTCTAATGTTAGTTCAAGGAAACGTCGGGAGAGTTACGAAAGTGGGTGTGGTCATTGGGGAAAGTGGGCGTGGTTTGGGCGTGGTTCGAACATAACTCTCCGAAATCATAACTCTCCGAGATAACTCTCCGGTTGGTAACTCTCCCTTTAGTCATATCCCTTTCTACTTGATACAAACTGATCAGCATTCAGCACATTGTACTTTTGGTCCAGCAGTAGAATTATGAACATACTACACGCGTAAAAATCATCATGTTGATGCAAGTTGTTCAAAACAGGAGCGAACAATGTTGTGCTGCACCCCGTGAACAATATTGTTAACAAGTTGTTGAACCATCAACATTGTTGCAACTTGTTGACAATCATGTTAACAACTTGCAACAGTACTGATGGCTGAACAACTTGTTA